TGTGTCATCCTCACAGCTCACGTTCCCACCTATCTTCGTATCATTATTAGTTGAGGTCCTACAATAGGCAATTCTGTGCTGAGTGCAGCCTCCTAAAGGGTTAATGGAGAGTGAGAATTTGCAAACGGGTTGTGAGTTACATTTTTATCTATCTGTTTTGTAACATTGCAGACTATCACATTTCATAGGGGACCAGGCACTTAAACAGCCTCTCACTGTCTCCTCACACACACTCACTCACTCACACACACTCCCTCCCTTACTCACTCCCTCACTCACATTCCCTCACACACTCACTCATACACAAACCCTTTTATGTGGGACTCATGTGGCGCATAATAAAGTAAAATATGAGGAGGGAGAGAGAACAGGTGTATTGGCACAGCTCCTGTTCACAGCCAATGTTCTGGGATATAAAACACAATTTACAGTGCTGACCTCTCAAGCCCTCAGTCTCTCAGCACTGACTGCCCACTGCCCGCCTGCTGGGGCCCAGAGCCTGGCATTGTTCCCCTGGGTGTAAATCACACTAAAACATCTCACATTAAAGGCAAGGAATCAAAGCCCTGCACCATGTCTCTGATTCAGAAGGTTAGGGAAAGAGTCCAGAGAGAGGGAGAGGGAAGATGGGGCAGAGAGGCGATAGGGTAGTGAGTGCGGGGGTGGGTGGGGGGAAAGGAGGAGAGAGGGAAAGAGAAAGGACTGAAGGGTAGAGAGGAGAATGGAGAGAAGAGAGGAGGGAAGAGAAGCAGAGAACGATGGAGAGGGAAGGAGAGAATGGAGAGAGGAGAGGAGAGGATGGAGAGATGGGAGGAGAGAGGGGAGAAGAGGATGGTGAGTGGGGTCAGGTTGAAGAAAAGACTGACAGCCCCCACAGCTGTTACAGTTGTGCTGAGGACCTGGGAAGTGACTGTGTTTATAAATAAACACAGAGATCCTGTGGGTGCAGCTAAACTGAACATCAATCATGAATGGATAAGAGAGTGATAAAGAGAAACCAGCTTTGCTCTTAAATAGCGGCCTAATGGGAAGTGGCTGTCCCAAGCCCAGTGTCAGTCAATGAGTGCTGGATCTACACTCCAGCCTCTCTCACACACAAACACACATGCACACACTGCCACACACATACACAGACACACTGACACATTGACAGACACACACTTTCTTGCCTCCTTTACAGCCCATCTCAGGGCTTCCGCAACATTGCCCGGCTCCATCACGGTCTCACACCACAGGCCACCGAAACCTCCATATACCCATTCATAACATCCAGGCCTGACTATACAAATTCCCTGCTTGTTGGCCTCCCCAACTCCTCCCTCCATAGGCTACAGAACATCCAGAACTCTGCAGCCCATGTCTTCGCCCACACCAGGCTCCGTGACTCTAATATTGACTGTGGGATGTCCTCCCGACATGAAAAGCGCTCTCCAAATGTAATTTTGTTGTTGTTCCTCTTCAACTGTGCCTTTGGTCATCCTCCCAGTCCTACCCTTCCTGCCGCCACCCCTCTTGACTCCAACCCCCAGCTCGGGTGCAAAAGCTTCACTGTCCAGAGCCTTGGCATGTTCTCCTGACGTCAAAGACGCTGTGTAAATAACTTCTTGTTGTTGTGCATCGATAGCCAAACCGCACACTGGGGGCAGCCTCACTGCTGTGGGAATTGCCACCTTCTGTTCCCTTTACACACTCACCTCTCCACCTTTCCTGGCTCTTTGAAACACCTATCCAACTAGTCCCACTTAACCGCTCTTACACCATAGCCTTACAATTTTTTTCTTTTCAAGTATATATCCAATTCCCTTTTAAAAGCTATTATCGAATCTGCTTCCACCACCCTTTCAGGCAGTACATTCCAGCCCATAACAAGTCTCTGGATAAAAAAAATTCTCCTCGTCTCCCCTCTGGTTCTTTTGCCAATTATCTTAAATCTGCATCTTTTGGTTACCGACCCAACCACCAGAGGAAATAGTTTTTCCTTATTTACCCTATAATGTAGAAATATTTATATTGTGATTTACTATATAAAAAAATACTATTCTGACTGATGTTCTGAGGAAATTTTCACTCAAAAGTCATTACGCTACACTGTAGAGTCCTGTAGCATAGTGGTTTGCTGTCGCTCATGGGTGGGGTGAAACCTTAAACAAGTTTTGTTACTCCACAAGCCTTATTTACTTAGCAGTAATATAATAACAATAATGATAATCCTTGCATTTGATATAGCGCCTTATTACATCATTGAGATGTCTCAAAGTGCAGAATATCCTGCGAAGTGAATTGACTGTATATCTTTGGGGCAAAATGCAGCAGCCAATTGTACACAGCAGTGTCCCACAAACAGCCGTGACCCAATTTTTTTTAGGGATTATTATCCCTGGAAAAGCAATCCGCCAATTGGCTGACGACCATGTTCCAACTACTGCTTGGAAAACAGAGATGTGTGTGTGTGGAGTAAGGAAACTTGCCTAAGGTTTCGCCCCACCAGTAAATTGGAACGCAGTCGTTAGTCATTTGGTGGGTCACTTTCCGGGGGTAATAATCCCTCCAAAACAAACACAAAAAATTGGTCACTCAATCCACGACTCTTTGTGGGACATTGCAATATATTCTGTGAAGTGCTTCGAGACATCTCAACAATGTTAAGGTGCTATATCAAATGCAACGATTATTGTTCTATTATTATTGCAGTTTACAGTCAGAGCCCTTCACGGGATTTAGTGTAAGGTGTAGTGACTGTGTGTTCAGTGAGCTCTCATCTAAAGCGCATTGTGCCCCGGCGCCAGGCAGGTGTGAATGTGTGAGAGGGTGAGGCTGTGGGTAAACCGGCAGAAATCGCTCAAACCACAGCCTTCATTACTCTCCAAGGGCTGTTGGGTTATGCTGTGATTTTATTATTGCTCTCAGTCCGGGTTAGGAACGGGATCAAATCAAAATGTTGTGAAATTAGTAACGAAAATGTGAAGCTTGTGTGTTTGTAAATGTGAGTATTGGGGACTGGGGGCTGAGCACAGACTGGGTATGGATCTCAGTCACACTGCTCTGTGTGTGTAACTTTAATATTAGAGAGAGAGGGATCTCACCCCCTCTCTCCCCCTCTCTCTGCGCCGTTCGTTTTTTTCCATTTACAGTTTGGAAATAATACTAAACGATTAAAAGGCGAAATCCATACAGTGATGGAAACACTCAATCCTTCTCTCACCCACTGGAGTTAAAGCCCACCCCCAACATCCCCCTCCCCCACACACAGCTCCCCTCTCCCCCCACCCCACACAGCCCCCCCCCAACACCCAACAGCACCCCCCTCCCCCCCCCGCTGGGCAGAGTCGGGCTTAGGTATAGGAATCTGCCGATAATTTGCTTACTTTAAAAGTCTGTTTTTTATATACTGTTTTTTGATATACTACATTGATAATAAATAACACTAACCTCCGCCTGACAATAAATTACAGGTTGTGTTTGTTTACCTCAGACCCGCGCGTGGGATCACAGGGAGAGAGTCTCAGCGCGTGGAGTCGGGATGAGGGAGTGAGAGGGAGGGGGAGAGGAAGAGAGGATGGAAACGAGTCCTTTTAAAGGAAGGTGCAATGTGGTATTCATTCTGGTCCGTGTTTCGTTGAGTTATGAAAGCGACAACGTAAGAACCTGTGAATGTATCTCTCTCTCTGGGTCTGTGTCTGTGTGTGTGTCTCTCTATTTGTGTGTGTTTCTCTGTGTCTGTCTGTGTGTGTCTGTATCTATATATGTGTGTGTGTCTGTGTGTGTGTGTGTGTGTGTGTGTGTGTGCCTGTGTCTCTCTCTCTGTCTGCTTGTCCCCGGTATTAACACAGAACTATCCCAGATGGTAAATTATTTTCCCAATTTACAGAATGTTACAATAATGACTGCACAACACGGAGCCGCCGTTCACTAACCCTCTCTCTCTCTCTCTCACACACACACACTCAGGGAATCCGCCAGATCCCGGCTTTAATAAATAAATGCAGATATAGAAATATGGAATAAATATAAAAACCTTACGAAAATTAACGAGATTGTCACCAAAGTAATCGAATTCCGCTGATTAATTCCGCAGAAAATGCTGATTAGTGTTAAAGCGCCCGGAAACAGAGAGAGAATTTTACACACACACACAACTGATCCAAACCAAACTCACAACCTATTTTTTTGCCGACGTGAAACATTTCGATTTAAAATGATTTAATAAAACCCTACAATAATCAAATAAATTCCGATCTTACCTGCACAAAATCTTACCAAATCGCCGCTCGCCGGGAGAGAGAGAAACCCCTGGACTAAATATTAAATCAAAAATCAGATGTGAAATGAAGTTTGATGCGGCCTGAAATCTGCCTGAAATCAGTGAGTGGGTCCGTGTGTGTGCGCATCGGCCGCCGTTAAAGTAGGTGTAAATTAAGAGTTATATATAATTAATATACAGGTATGGGAACAAACAGGGAAAGTGGAATAAAGGTGAGAAGGAGAGGACCCCCTCCCACATGTGCTGACAGGTAATTAATGGGCCTGAGTCAGGCCCCTCCCCCCCACAGCTCGGGAATCAGAGAGAGAGAGAGAGAGATGGTATATCTCACTAACTGATTACCACCCAATCAACAATAACTTGTTAGCGGGCGTCAATTGCCCCGTCTCTCTCTGCCTGCACACTCTAAGGAGAATGTTATTCGCCTGTCTGCCTAGTTGATGGGACAGAGAGAGAGAGTGAGAGAGAGAGAGAGAGAGAGAGGATAGAAAGTGGGTTAGCGGCTGGCTCCCAGCAGGATTAAGTATTTATTAGCGGTTTGACTACACCATTCGCTCCCGGTGTTGCCTTCCCCATTCTGGGCGCCGCTCGCAAGAGGGCATTTCGGCGCTGCAGTTGCAGTTGGACTGAACTTTGGGACTTTTTTCCTGTGTGTATTTTTTCTCTTTCTTCCCCCCCCCCCCAAAAAAAAAATCGGTGCTATTATTCGTGGGACCCTCACTCACTCCCACTGCCCACCATGGCTTCCAAAGACGACGCCAAGACCTCCTCATCAGCCGGCTTGCATTCCTCTGTGGAGGAGAGAAGGAGAAGTGCCCTGGACCATCTTCCGCCCCCCGCGAACGCCAACAAGCCGCTCACACCCTTCAGTATAGAGGACATCCTCAGCAAACCGGCCGTGCGGCGCACTTACTCTGTGTGCGGGGCGAGCCACCTCCTGCCCCAGCCTGACAAGCACCCAGCCCCCGGGCTGCCCCTCGCCAGCCGGCCCGCCCTGCTCGCCCACCCCTCGCCCCTGTGTGCCCTGGAGGAGCTGGCCAGCAAAACTTTTAAGGGGCTGGAAGTGAGCGTTCTTCAGGCGGCAGAAGGTGAGCTTCGTACAGTCGCTTACATCAGCTTGAACTCGGCGGCCCGAGTCACCCCGACACTCGGCCAGGAACCAGCAAGGAAACCTGGGGAAATCTCCCCACTCACACACGTATACATACACACACACATGTATATACATATTCATACATACTTACACACGCATAGATATGTGCATACACACCTACTTACACACACACACATATACACGATCACACACATATACACACATACATATATATTCATTCACACACATGCATACACTCAAAGAAAAAAGTTTGGGGATAAAATGAAAGTAAAATATCAATGTTTATCACTCTATATTTTAGACTGGAACGAGGTTTCGTCAAATTGGAGATTTTGAGTAAATTTAAGCTTTGATTTATTTGTGTCTAATGATTGTAAGATTGCTGTAACGGGATTGTATAGGTACCGGTTACATTTCAGGGAGAGGAGAGAGATGGAGAGAGATGCTCACATAAACATTCCGTTTCTGTCCGTTGCTAACAGTAAAGTCTGGATATGTAAGTCCACACGTTAATAGTTCTGTAACATCAGACAATGTAAAACCCAGAATTCTTTTTAGAAAAAAATGTAAATGAAAGCGCTAACTATTGGCGTTAGCAATAGCCCCGGTTTATCCCCCGCGGGCTTGTGTGTATATTTTAATTTGCGTTAGTTAAGGATATGACCAGAATACAGAAATATTCGCTGGTTGTAATTGAATGAAGGTGTTAGTGTAAAAGGAGCTCTCCCGAGTCATTAACAATCACAAACTCCATTAATTTCCCTTCTAAACCCATAAGGACCGATCAGAGAGCTGCTGAGTTAGTGTCATATACCGTGCCCGACATCTCTTGTTTTTTATATATAAGATGTATGTATATGTGTGTATATATACAGTATAATATACATTTCACCCACAAAATATCTAGTCAATTCACTTTACGATATATCCTGTGAAGTGTTCTGAGACGTCTCGAAGACGTGATAAGGCGCTGTATATATCAAATGCAAGGATTATTATTATCTATAATATTTTTTTCTTAAATGTGAATAAAATGACCTTGAAACTCTTGTCTTTTTGTGTTGCTGTAAAAAGGCTCTCTTTTGACAGGCAGAGACGGCTTGACTATCTTCGGCCAGCGACAGACTCCCAAGAAAAGAAGGAAATCCAGGACCGCTTTCACCAACCACCAGATCTACGAGTTGGAGAAGCGATTCCTGTACCAGAAATACCTGTCTCCAGCCGATCGTGACCAGATAGCCCAACAACTGGGCCTGACGAACGCCCAGGTCATCACCTGGTTTCAGAACCGCAGAGCCAAGCTCAAACGAGACCTGGAGGAGATGAAGGCAGACGTGGAGTCGGCGCGTAAATTGGAGCCCACTCAGTTGGATAAAATCGCTCAACTGTCTGAGGATCTTGAACAGTGTGTGTCTGAGGCCGACTCCAAGTCCCCGGCTTTGGGTTCGCCTCCCCTGCCCGCCGCCCCCTCACCGGCCCGGCCTCATAGCCACCAGCAGTCCTCAGCAGAGGAGGAGGAAGATGATGAAGAGGAGATAGATGTGGATGACTGACCTCTCTCTCTCTTCTCTCTCCTCTCTTCCCAACTCTTACTTGTTTTTAGATAAAGAGAATCACAGAGATTTTTTTATTACTGAAGAGAAAGCTCCAGAGTTTGCTGGTAACTTTTACACACACTTTACCCCATCACCACCCTTACCCCATCCCTACCCAACCCCTCACCGCACCCCAACACTTACACCACACCCAGCACCTGTGTAGTGACCGCATGCACGGAGACAGGCCCTGTTAATGCCCCGTTAGGCCGGACCCTCACCCTCCCGTTCCCGGCGCGGAGTTTCCAAACCATGGGAAGCAATAAGCAGTGTGTAGTGCCCTGACACCTCTGTCTGTCTGTCCTACCTGTGTACCCGGCCCGGGAGTCAGGGCATGGCGCCCCGGCCCAGCTCGGCACTGAACCCAGCTCCTGGTCTGACAAACACAGGGCAGTTTGGGGGGGGGGGGTGTGGAGCCTGTTTTGGTTTGGTTTTGAATTGCTTATCAGTCCTGGGTTGGGGTCGCAGGATTTTCCGTTCCCCCTGCACATTGGTTTTATACTCTGACCTCTCTGAGCTCTCCCTCACACTTAGAGAGAATGGGAGACCTGCTTTTGATAATGCATGAGCTCAAAACGCTTATTTCCTTTCTTTTTATTTAAATTATTGTGCTTATTGCAAGTTTTTGAAATACAGTATATATATATTTACCTGTTTTGGTTTAAAATGCCCCCATTGCAAACTCCAGCCGGTGTTTACACGGCGCTATTAACTGCCTCACTGGAATATCGATTAAACCTATTTTTGCGATTGTTTTCATGTGGTTTATTCTGTTGTCACTTCTTTCCAGCTCCGTTACCGACCGCTGGCGAGTGAAACGCGGATATTTTCAGGTGAATGTGGAGCAGAAAAGGCGTGAAGGGAGATAGATTTTTATTATATATATATAATATTTATATAACATTTATAAATATATTACAATTTTGTATTTAGTAGAATTGGAGGCAACGATATGTTAATCTTAATTCGAAAACTCAAATGATGGTTGACAATTCTCGTTTATAATTCTAATTTATATCTTATAATTTTCGCTTATAATTATACTTTATAATTTGAATTTATTTTACTTTATTAACTTAAAATTCTAACGAAAAGAAGAGACTTACAGGGAGCAACAATGCACGCGTGTGAGTGAATGTACAGAGAGATAGAGAGAGAAAGACTCTTTACACATCTCTCTTAATTTACTTCCACACGCGTACAGGGCTTTTGTGGTGCAGTAAACATGTCCCTGTCTCACAATAAAACTATTTACATCCCAATAGTGCCCTCCAGCCCCCTCCTTCCTCACGCCTTTCACACGGAGTGTGTTGTCTCTATATTAAAATGCAAACGAAAAAAATCGAACTTGATGCAGTATAAACGGGAAATTGTATTTTTACAATAGTGTTTCTGGCCCGTTACACACTCGGGCGTGTGCCATGCGGGTATCCTCTTTGCTGTACATTTCACATGTTAATAATTAGTCCATTTAATATATATATATATAGGGGGATGTGTGTTTCGAGTCCCAGCCCCGGTTTGCTCTCTTTCTCTCTCGCCACATTTATAAACTTCACGCATTCGGGAATAAAGAGGGGGAATATTAGCAGGTGGTTGAGCAAAGAGAGGGAGAAAGTGAAAGTAAAGAAATGAAAATATTTTCTGTGTGGAGTGGAAGTTGTGGGAGTATTTTTGCGCCTTGTTTCTCCCATTCGCTTTTCCAGTCGTTTCTCTCACACACATACAGTGTTAAAGTAAAAGTTTTTTTATAAATAGTACAAATCAAAATTATATATAAACGAGAGAAAGTGGGCAGGAATGGAGAGAGAGCGGGTAGATAGACAGGGGAAACGGCGTGGCCACATAAACAAATTTATGTGTGAACTAAAAATCTGGTGTTTTTTAAGAGAGAGGGAGAGAGAAGGCTATAAAAAAATGGCAAAAAACAAGAGTTTTGGGTCCATTTTCAGCCAGCGACAGAGAGAGAACAGGGCTCTTTGAGAATATGTGAATTAAGGAATATTAGCGGAACGTGGGTGCGGGAGAGGCTGAATGGGTAGAGAGAGGCACTGACACACACACACCCGCCGCACAAAGAGCTCCCGCTGCGCACACACACGGCTCCCTCAGTCCACAGCCGACAAACGTTTGGAGGCCATATGGTTTATAAATTTCCTGAACAATTTGCGAG